TTTGGACTTCAAATACAAATAAATTTATTAAACAAAATATAAATCATAATATAATTAAAATCAACATAACTCATTTATAATTTTTTTTCTTCATAAATTAGAATAATTAAAAAGCAATGGATGTTATTCAAATTTTTTGTTAAATCCTTGTAGTTCTTCTGTGTTTGAAAAGCATATGTATACCAGACCCAACTAATTTAATTATTTTCACAAAAAATAATCATTAATGTTTACTTTTAACCAAAATTTAAACTTTAAATATTTCTGTCATTTTCAACAAAATATAGTATTATATTATTCTTCTAAATATTACCATAATTTTTCAACAAGGGAATTAGCTGGTATATTAAAAAAATGAAAATATTATAAGATAATTTTAATAATATATAACCTTTTTTAATCATTAATTCTATTCTTACATGATTACAAACACTAGTTAATGATAGAGATTGATTATTTTTACTTATCATGCTCACTTGCAAATTCATATATATATATATATAATTTATATAAAAGATGGTTATTTATAAAATAAATAGTTAAATTAATTTCTAAAGTTATGTAGTGTTCTTAATTTAGATTATAATTTTAATAAAACTAAAAAAAGGTTTCCAAAAATGTATTATCTCATTTATTTAAGTTCTTTCATTAAATAAGTTTTCTTAAAATAAAAATGTTTATAATAGTGTCATGTAACATATATATATATATATATATATAAAGTGACATTTAGAAAAAGCACTACATATTTAAAATATGCAATTTTCATTACATGGCTTTTTAATTAACAAATAAAACGTTCAATCTGCATTATTTGATAGCTAGCTAGTGGCAATTATTCATTCAATTGGCTTGGTGTGCCAAGCACGATTTACTGTGTTTTACTTTGTCATAACTCATACATAAGAGTATTTTGTTTGGTCTGGTTGTATTATCCTCCTAGAGTTAGATTTCACAGGCAGGAGATTTGATTAGTTAATGATGGAGGATGACATGCATTAATGAATGGAGGGAGAATACCCGACACTGGTGAGACTTCGATCATTTTCAGATAAGACAATGACCAATGTTTTTATTATTTGATCACATGGGAAAAGTCCATTGGTTATCTTCTAGGTAGGCCTGCTTTGTCTCTCACATATTGGGCATCAACCAACCTCTTTTGTAGACCTATTAAAGGTTATCATAGAGAGAATGAAACTATAACCAGCCAAGTAGGTTCTACACACAGCATATTTATATGTCCATAGCTAGCATTTATATATGGGGCCAAAACTATTATTACAAAGTTAGTAAATAAACAACTTTTGAACAGACTTTTTATCTTATGTTTTCATTTCTTTGGAATTACTATGTCATTCTTTAATTTCAAATTTAACTAAAATATTCGCATGAATCAACTAGTTTTTCAATTAATCAGTTATCTTAAGTAATAAATATACACATGTTAAATATTAAAAAAAAAACAATATATACTATCTTTATATGTAATAGTAGAATCAAGTTTGTGTCTTTATATATTTTGTTTTAAAAAAATAATAATAAAATAATAAAGATTATAAAATATAAATCAAACGAGATAATGTATAATTAAAAAAATAATTTTAAATAAAATTAAAGATAAAAATAGTTACAAAATAAAAAGATTATTATTATTGATGAAATAAATAATTAATTTTTTATGCATATTTTTTTCTCCTATTTTACTCTTACGAGATATGATGGTAAAAAAAATAAAGAAATATAAATATATTAAAAAAAAGTGAAAATTAAATGAAAATATTCCTTAATATATAGTGTATAGATAAAAAAAAAAATATTAACTAATGTGATCACTTCAACTCAATTAGGGAGAAGTGAAAATCATTAGGAAAAAAATTCATAACTCATGCATATATAATATATAAATTAAAGTATTTTCTCAAAATAAATAAAATATGTTGGCATCTTGTATTTTACTTACATTATATGTGAAATTATTATGTGGCCCGCTGAAATGAATTGTTTTTTTTCTTTTTAGTAATATTGGTCAACTTACTAGTTCAGGCCCGATTAATAATGGAAAAGTTGGGTTAAGCTTAGATTTTATAAAGCTATTTTGCAAATCTAAGACATGACATTTATCTACTTATCGGACATATGGTTTTTTAAGGCTAATTTGACTTGAACTGAAAGTTTATTTAACAGTACAATTTCTTAAATAGGTTAAAAAAATCACCTTTAAAAATGTTAATGGACCTAAACTTATACGTAGTTAAGTAATAAGTTTTTAAACCTCTAAATAAATTAATAAATATACAATCTTAAAACATTACCATATAAATTTAGTACAATAATAATTATATTATTATAACCCTACATAATAATAGGTTTCCTTTTAAAAATAGGTTTAGCTTATGTTTGATGTGGGGTTAAATCGTAAGCTCTCAAAGAACAACCTATCATTTTTTTTACACACAGGCTTAACATAATCATTATTCAATTATATCAAAAGGATTGCATTATTTTTTTTCTCCTATAATTAACTCGTAATAAACTTTATATACAAGGCCAAGAACTTTTGTGGCTTTTAGGATCATATATATGGGGATTCCATCTATTGAAAGGTAGACTATAACCATCTATTGGTCTTGTCAAATTGTAACTACCTGATGTCCTAATCCTATATAAAGAAGAGTTTCATCTCTTATGCTTTATAATTTGGTTGATGATGAAATAAATAATAATATAAAAAAAACTCAAAAGAAGAGAACGAACTGAACAAAAGTACTATAATTAAGGAAAAGTGTATTATTTGAAATAGTAGAAATAAAAAAAAAACTCTTTAATTTATTTAGAGAAGTGGAAGAACGAATAAAAGTAAATATAATTTTTCTGTATGTTTGAAAGAAGAATAAAAGAAATGAGAGACAAAAAAAATTGTGGCCTCCTACATAAAAAGGAGAGAAATGAAATAAATCATTCCTCACATGAGAGAAATTATGTGACACGAAAAAACTCTCCCCCTATTCATTTCTATAGTGTGTCAAATGAATGAAATGAGAAGTTTATACCTAATTACCTCCACACACGCACACGTATATATAT